ACTTCCACTTTTTCACTTGAAGAAAGAACTTTATGGCTTCTCTTTGCCATATCCAAATTGCCAGCATCACTACTCTTGCGTTTTGGAGCCATTATTAAGTAAAATAAGGATTACTTGAACACAAGCACTGCCATAATGTGACTGTCGATCTCAACAGAGACTACTACTCAGTGACTATGGCAGGTAGCACATACAGCATGGATATGCTTGACAAAGTGATGATTTACGTTCTGGGCAAGATGGAGTGGGACACTGTGAGACTTCATCATGCTAATCAGATCCGTGCACAATTTAAAACTTATAAATTGTTTATTTCTGGAATTTTCCACTTAATATTTTCTGACCATGGGAAATGAAACCATAGAAAGCAAAACCACAGATTAAGGGGGGACTACAGTATATCATTTTACATTTCACCATATAACAATACTTACATTTCTTCCCTCAGGGCCTTTGTATTATTGTCATACATTTTATTTCTATATATGCTATAAACTTTACAATATATTTCTTTAAGTAGTCAACTACCTCTTAAAGAAATTTAAATAATAAGACAAAACTATTTTATATTTATCTATGTAGTCATCCCTTGGTATCATTAGGGGATTGGTTCTAGGACCACCCCCCCACCCCCCCGCAGGTACCAAAATCCCCAGATGCTCAAGTTACTTATATAAAATGGCCTGGTATTTGCATATAACCTACACACATTCTCCCATATACTTTAAACCATCTCTAGATTACTTACAATATCTAATACAATGTAAATGTCATGTAAATAGTAGTTATATTGTATTATTATTATTATTTTTTTGTCCTTTTTTTTTGAGACCAGCTGCACCGCGCTCAGCCAGTGAGCGCTGTTGAGCGCACCGGCCATCCCTATATAGGATCCGAACCCGCGGCGGGAGCGCTGCTGTGCTCCCAGTGCTGCACTCTCCCGAGTGCGCCACAGGCTCGGCCCCTTGTATTACTTTTTAATTGTTGTATTGTTATTTATTATTATTATTATTATTTGAATATTTTCCATCTTAGGTTTGTTGAATCCGCAGATATAGAAACTGTGGATACAGAGAGCCAACTGTAGTTCTCATTTCCAGTGCTCTTCGTTCCTTAGCATTGATTCAGATTTTCATCTGTTATTATTTTCCTTCTGTCTGAAGAACTCTCTTCAACCCTTCTTGTGGTGCAGGTCTGCTGCTGGTGAAATCTTTCAGATTTTGTAGGTCTGAAAAAGTCTATTCTGCTAATTTTAGTATTATTGTTATTATTATTATTTTTGGTGTCTAAACTATACAGGGAATTGAATCACTATTTTTAGTTTTGAAAGATATTTTCACTGGATATAGAAATTCAGGTTGGCAGTTTTTTTTCTTTAAGTACCTTAAAGATCTTGCTCCACTGTGTTTTGGCTTGCAGTATTTTTGATAAAAAGTCTGATATCTTTGTTCTTCTGTATATAATGTGTCTTCTCTCTATGACTGCTTTTAAGATATTTTCCATCACTAATAATAGGTAATCTGATTATGATGTATGTTCATTGACGTAGTTTTTTTCATGTTTCTTGTGCTTGATGTTCACTGAGCTTCTTGGATCTCTGAGTTAATAGTTTTCATTAAATTTGGACAAGTTTTGTCCATTTTTTCCTTCAAATATTATTTTCTGTCCCCCTCTGTCCAGCAAGTCCAATTACACATATATTAGGCTGTTTGAAGTTGTCTCACAGTTCAGTGGTATTTTGTTCTTTTTTTCACTCTTTTCTTTTTGTTTCATTTTTGTATAGTTTCTATGGCTATGTCTTCAGATTCACTAATATTTTCTTCTGCAATGTCTAATCTTCTGTTAATCCCATACAGTGTATTTTTGATCTCAGGCACTGTAGCCTTCATCTATAGATACTAGATTTAGGTTTTGTAATTATTTTATGTATCTTTACTTGCTTGGTCTTTCTTCTATAGCATGGGATAGAGTTATAATTATAATGTCTTTGTCTACTAATTATATAATCTGTGTCATTTTTTGATTGATTCTGATCATTTGCTTTTTTTCCTCCTCACTATGGGTTGTATTTTCCTGCTTCTTTGCATATCGGTTAATTTTTTACTCGATGGCAGACACTGTACATTTTACTTTAGATATTTTTGTATTCCTATAAATATTCTTGAGCTTTGTTGTGGGATATAGTTAGTTATTTGGAAATAATTTGATTCTCATTACTTTTAAGCTTTGTTAAGTGAGACCAAACCAACCTTTAGTCTAGGGTTTATTTTGCCACACTATGAAGCAAAACTCTTCTGAGTACTCTGCCTAATGACTTTTGAACTATGAAATTTTCCACTCTCCTGGTTTGAACAGGAAGTACAGTTGATGCTTGGGCAACATAGGTTTGAACTGTGCCGGTCCACTTATACATGGAACCTGTGTAAAAGGAGGGTAGACTTTTCCTACAGGCTTCACAGGGCCAACTACTTAACTACTTAAGTAATGATGTGAGGAAAGCTATAGGTAGATTTTCAACTATGCAGGGAGGTCTGTGCCCCTAACCTCATTGTTCAAGAGTCAACTGTATTTTTGACCTTGTATATGCTCCAGGGATTGTTCCTTGTAAGTTTTTTGAGTGGTTCCTGTTCTGGTCTCAAGTAATTTACTCACATGCATGCCCTGACCAGTACTCAGCTAAACATTTGAGTAGAGTCCTCTGAAGATCTCTGGAGTTCTCTATCAAGCTCTATCATCTCTGCCATTCTGTCTTGTGAACTCTAACCACTTTGGCTACCCCAAACTCCCATTTCCATTTCCATCTCTGCTGGTGTCTGTTTTCGCTCGCCTTAAGCTGTGACCTGGATACTCTTTCCAGAAAGTAAGCCATGGCAACTGTAGGGTGAACATTGCTTGTTTCCTGTTTCTCAGGAATCACCATCTTTCATTGCCCTGTGAACAATATCCTGAAAACCGTTGTTTCATATATTTTGTATGATTTGTTTTTAGTTCTTTTAAGTATGAGGGCAAATCCAGTCACTGTTAATCCATCTTGGCAGGAAGTGGAAGTTCCAAGATTTCTTTATTGGATATGTTAAATTTAACATGTCTGTTGGCAATCAAGTAGAAGTATCAAGTCGGCAGTCGGATTACTTCTTCTTGAGTATAGAGTTCAAGAAGATACTAGGGATGCAGATATGCATTTATGAGAAATCAGAGTATGGATGGACTATGAAGCTATGGGACTGAAAGAAATCATTTAAGAAGAGTTCAGCAAACTATAGCTCACAGACCTAATCTGGCCCCATCAGAATTTTTCAATGAGTAAAGTTTTTTTTTTTTTAAAAGATGACCGGTAAGGGGATCTCAACCCTTGGCTTGGTGTTGTCAGCACCACGTTCAGCCAGTGAGCAAACTGGCCATCCCTATATGGGATCTGAACCCACGGCCTTGGTGTTACTAGCACCGCACTCTCCCGAGTAAGCCACAGGCCGGCCCTCAATGAGTAAAGTTTTTATAAGTTTTTTGTAAGTAAAGTTTTTGTAAGTAAAGTTTTATTGGACCACAGACATGAGCATTTGTTTTCATACTGTCTAAAGCTGCTTTTGCATTACAACAACCGAACTGAGTACTTACAATAGAGACATCTGACATGCAGAGTTTAAAATATTTACTATCCAACTCTTTACAAAAAAAGATTGCCCCTGATCTACAGAATACATGTACACAGAGAGTGCCAGTGGACTGAATTCTGCACTACTCCTAAACGTTGACATCAAGCAGAAAAGAATCAGAAAGTACTAAAGCAGGAAAAAAGATAGAAGACTGAATTTTCCAAGGCAAAATGAGAAAAAGATTAACAAAAAGGGAATGTGAACTGTGTCAAAAGTTGTTCAAAGATGAAGTGAGAACCAGTAAATGATCAGTGTAGATTAGGCACTTTCTTTATTTTAATGAAGTGGTGGTCATGGTGGGGAGGATTGAAAACCAATTAAAGAAAGTTGAAAAGTGAACATGAGTGAAAAAAAAGTAGAGACAATGAGTCAGCTCTTTTGAGGATTTTTGGTCAAAAAAAAAAAAAAGGGAGGGGGAGGGAAGAATTGGAAAGAAGATGTTTAGTTTAGGGAGGTTTTTTTAAAAACAGCTATTATAGCACTAATTTTTTTTTTTTTTGACAGATAAGGGGATTGTAACCGCTGGCTCAGTGTCATCTGCACCATGCTCAGCCAGTGAGCGCACCGGCCATCCCTACATAGGATCCGAACCTGCGGCCTCGGCACTACCAGCGCTGCACTTTCCCGAGTGAGCCACGGGGCCAGCCCTATAGCACATTTTTATGTTAATAAATATGATCTAGTAGAAAGACAAAACTGAGGAGATGTAAGATGAGGACTGGTAAAGATACTGAAGAATAAAGGAGAAAATGAGACAAAGGCCACTAGTGGATGCTATAGCCAAAACAAGAGGGATGCACATTGTCATGGTCTGTCTCCTTGAGTTATTGGTTGGGCTGTCTGTGTGGCTGCTGCAGTTGTGGTAAGAGCAGATAAATATATCTAGAATTTTTATAGGTTATATTTCACAGAGAAATACTTTGAAAAATGGTGAGACTTGTATTCTGATACCAAAGGGATTGAATATTCTATAATAAATCTAAAGTATGTCCATATGGTATATAAGTTATAATATAACTGGCAATACAGTACTACTAGGGCTAGAGTTCAGCTACATTAGTAAGTTGAAAAGATTTTGATGCCTAATACCAAAGGGATTGAATATTCTATAATAAATCTAAAGTATGTCCATATGGTATATAAGTTATAATATAACTGGTAATACAGTACTACTAGGGCTAGAGTTCAGCTACATTAGTAAGTTGAAAAGATTTTGATGCCTAAAAGCTAATATAATCATTTCTAAGACTATTTTAATAGGAAATGTGCTTCAACGTTTTTGATAAAAAAAATTACAGAAAACTTTTGGAACTCAGCTTAGTTTTAAGTTAAGGATGGTGAACTTACCAATCTTCATCAGCTAGAAGCCTCAGGGCTTCTGTTAGTGCCATTTCTGGTTTGGAAAATGGCCGTAGTTCTGATAAAGCCATTATTTCTGGACTATGAGTGACAGAAGGCATCCTTTCTTTATACTGTAAAATGGCTCCAGGAGATGCATCACCTAAAAGAAAATATATTAAAGCATGAAAGAAACTTGACACAAAGGACACAAATGGTATTTTGTCTACAGATATTATGAATATTTCTTATAGAAACTAGTACTAATGGTTTAGTCTTCAAGAAAATTGTAATGCCTAGAAACCAAAGCTATTCAAAACTTTATTTTTTATATGCAAATTATTGATAAATTACATTTAATAGAAAAATATAAGTGGTTAATCAGTCATGGGTCATACAAAAGTCTAGCTTTATTTTAAGAGCTAAAAGAAGCAGTATGATCCCATTTTGTAAAAACATGTGGATATATACTTGTTTTACCATACAACTGACAACTGAAAATGAAGCTTCATGGCATCTATATATAGAATTGTAGCTGATGTTCTTTACTGGTATAGAATTAATGGTTATTAAAAATCCTAAGATTATGTGTAGTAATAAGAACATTGTTTCTTCCATAACCAGACATTTATCAAGCATTTTCCAGATGTAAGGCATGGCCCTAGACAATGGGGAAACAATGCAAGGCACGTGCAGTGGGGGTGTTAGAAAGGAAAAGATCAAATAGAATCGGCTTTTGCAAGTGGGTAAAGATTTCTTGGTTCTTTTCCCATGTTTAACAGATGGTTTTAAAAAGGAAATATTAGGCACTAGAAAATGACTATCATAAAAGATTATTTATTAACCATGTTATTTATGGGGAAATATTAAATGAAATCACAATTACAAGAAATTTCACTTGATGCTGCATACTGATTACATATTCAGATGTTTCTATCAGTCATTTAAATTCAAAGGCAACAAGGTATTAATGATATTAGCTAACATTTATTAAACACTTTGTGCCAGACCTTGTGATAAATTCATTGCAGACTTGAGCACACTTAATTCTCAATAAAGATGAGGTAGACATTCTCATTATCTTTATTTTGAACTTGAGAAAATAATTGAGTTCTACTGAGGCAAAGAAATTTATTTGAGGTCCCCGGGATAATGAGTGGCAGAGGCTATCTACTATCAATTTTATATAAAGAGGTCTAAGACAGAATGCTTGTTTTCATAAAGTTTATCATATATCTGACAAGAAAATATATGTAAAAAGATAAATATGATGTTTTGGATTACTGTAGTGATAAATCAGTACCAGTTTTTGTTAGAGTAAATCATATATGAGGAAGATAATGTGCCAATTAAAGAATATAATAAATAGACCCATTTCATTTTTTTGATGGTTTAGATGTACCACTATTAAGCTTCATATGTAGGACTGATATGTATAAATAAAATCCTCCAGCTTTGGAATATCACAATCCTGAAAGAAGAGCAAATACAAAATAGCACTATCATTTATTATCTTGCCTGGTATTGTGCTAAGCGTTTCTTTTACATTATCTCATTTAATTCATTCAACGACCTTAAGGAATCATGATTATTATTATTATTCCTACATTACAGATGAAAAAACTGAAGCTGAAGTTTTAAGGATTCCCTCTCTGTATCTACTCCACTCCCATTCTCATGAGAGAATAACTTGTTAGGAAGAGATGCAGCTAAATACCAAATTTTCAAACTTGGCATTATATCAATATCAAGTACCATCACCTATCGTTACTTTGTTTTCACGTGAAAAAAGTAAAACAAAACAAATATTCTGGAAAAGGAGGTGTACAGAATATCAATCTAAGCAGTGATGCTCAATTATAACAAAAAGATGCAGTGGACACATGTGGTCTCTTCAGCTTAACAAGCATTTATGACATTACTCTTTATATTTAAATAAGTGACTTACCTGAATCTGAAAACACTAAAGATGGTGACTGTTTTAAACTGGACCCTCCTTTCAGTGGAGGGTTGAAGGCAATATTTTCATAATGGGAACTCTCATTTTTTGATATTTCCACCTCATCTCCAAAAATATGTAAGTCTAGAAGGCAGAAAAACTATCATTTTTCTTGTTATGAGAAAAAAATTAATATTTTATTATAATAGTTATAATAGAAGCTTCCAGGTCTTGCAAATTTTAGTGTTATAGGTCAATATATTCCACTCTTAGTCATATATCATTCTCAGTTAAACCATATTAAACCAGCTTTAGAATATTACTAGAAAAAAAAATACCAAAAGTTAAATTCTACTTACTTTCAGATGCCAACGTCTTGCAAATTTTAGTGTTATAGGTCAATATATTCCACTCTTAGTCATATATCATTCTCAGTTAAACCATATTAAACCAGATTTAGAATATTACTAGAAAAAAAAATACCAAAAGTTAAATTCTACTTACTTTCAGATGCCAATTTCTCAGTTCCTGTATGTTTCATTCTTTCCCAGGAATTCTGTTCCTTCCTTTCACAATCTTTAATGTTAAAAAGCTCTTTTTCTTCTTTTCTCTTTTGTCTCATCTTGTCATAAGTAGATTTTGAAATAGAAACTTTACTCTGCATGAAAAAGATGAAATATCTGAAAGTGTTCAGGGAGTGTGACATTTAAAATATCACCTCAGATAACTGTATGTATGTACATTAAATGTCTACACAAAATAATCTATATATTTTTTGTCCTTATTTTAAGAATCCGAAAATTTACTACAGTAGAATTACATTGTGCTAATATCAAATTAAATTTGTGCCTGAGAATATTAGTCTGTCTCTACTTGAGTGTATCCAAGAAAACTGTTGAATATATATATATATATATATATATACATACATACATATACATGTATACAGAGTACATGTATAGTATAAAATATACTAGATACTTTATCACCAGAATGAGAATCATTTATTTAGTGGGAAAAGAGAATAATCTATTATTTAAATGATTAAGGATCAGAAATTTCAGTTATACCAACAAGATTTAAAAAGTTTTCATCAAAGTACTTTAACCACCCTACATCTGATATACACAAAATAATGACATATTGTAAGATTAAATTTATCCTAAAATTAGTAAATAACCTTACATCTTTTCCATTCTCAACATCAAGATATGATGGAATACTTTGCTGGACTGCTCTTCCATAAATCCCTGATGGTGGTTCAATATTTTGTTTAATTGAAAATGAATTCCCATTTTCCACAGAAGACACTACTGATTGGCTGCAGGTTGCTGGTGCTGAATTTGGACCTCCAAATACACCTGAAATCAACCAATAGTCATTAAATATTCATTTGATGACTCTGTGGATAAAGTTTAAAACAAGACTCTTACCTTCAAGAAGCAAACAAAATAGTTGAGTAAGAAAGACATGTTAAATAATTGTAAAATATAAGAATAAATACCCTAATAGGACAATAATATAAGAGATACCAGAAGGCAGTTTATGATAATGTCAAGTGAGAACTGCATATTTTAAGTGCTGAGTTCACAGGAAGGAAAGGGTGGCGTTAGCTAGATGTTTAAGATGGTTTCACGGAGATGGGATTTGAGCTGGGATTGAAAGACATGAGGGATTTGGATAGACAAGTAAGGAAGGGGAGGAGGAAATTCTATGAGATGGAGATTTATATGCAGAGTTGAACAAGTATGAGATTGTATGTAGGGTGAATAAATTAGTTTGGTTAGACACAAAGCAAATACAGGAATAACAGAAAATACATGTGTAAGAATAGATGGAGCCAACCTGAGGAAGTTCTTAAATTTTCCTAATGAGACTATCAAGCAAAGAAGGTAGGAAAGATTTTCAAGAATTTTATTCTATTTCATTATCTTGAACAAAAATAAGATGTATATCCTTAATGTATATCACTACTTTGTAGTGTTTCAATTAAAAAGAAACTAGTTTTAAAAGATATTTGCAATTACGTCATTGTTCAAAGATCCCCAAGTCCCCCTAAAATATATAACAGGGGTTAATTTGGATTTGCCTAATAAAATTATATTAATTTATACTGATTATTAAGTTGATAGATAAGGACTACCATTTGAATTTAAACTAAGCTAAAACTATCTTAGCCATCCTACAACTGTCTTAGAAGTACTTAAACTATAGCTGTCACATAATACATCTCTGAAAATTACTGACATGAATTTACCATAGTTTCATTAGAGGATAGAAATGTGAAGCTAAGTATTCATTTCTAATTCTTTCAGCATAATAATTTTTAAAAAAGAAGTTCTGATCAACACTTGAATCATACTCTTTTCTATTCTATATTGATATGCTTTGCTTATGTGTAAAGAACACATACAATTAAAAATGTGAAATAACTTTGAAATACCTTTTCCAACAACTACTACTGAGTCTTCTGATAAGGTATTTGTGGATGTGAAGTCAAAACTGGAAGTTTGGTGTGAATTTGATGATGACCCTGTAAGTACTAAAAAGAAACAAACAAACAAATCTGAAAATACTTACACAGTATTTTAGGATATTGCAACACGGTCTTTTAAAACTGAAAATTTACTTCATGCATAGAATTTACAATTCATTTATTCACACATGTTAACTAATTCAATAAATATTTATAATTAGAATATCTAGTATAGACTAGGCACTAGAGAGAAAAGAAACTATCTTTCCCTTTAGGAGTTTACATATGCCACAGTTGACAGTGGTAGAGGCATACCAACAAATAATCACAGCATGATAATTGGGCAACAAAAGAGTAATCATGAAGGAAATCCTTTGACATCTGAAAACAGAACACATCAGTCTCAAAGCAGCCTGTATTTTTCTAGGTTAACTTTTATCTCAGCTTCTGATTATTTAATTATTCTCTCTCCTCCTAGACTGTAAGTCCATTAGGATAAGACCTACGTCTGTTTTTGATGATCATTCTTACCCAAACCCTAGCACAGTTCTTGGCACACAGTAGGTGTTTAATAAATATATGTTAGATGAATGTATCAAGGCAGAACAAATAAAAACCAAAATACAATTAATTTAGGGTCTGTGAATAAAAGCAGCTAACTATTGGTAAATTTAATCAAATAACTGATTTTTTAAAAAACTTAAGCACAAAGATTGTTTTGCTAACCTGCTAAGGCTAATAGACTTGTGCTAACTTTGTGTGAACATGATAGAATTTAACAAATGAAACCGACGTAGGTGATCATTTTCATACATATCCTTCTTAAGTATAATCAAAATGTGCACCCTTACAGCATACACCAATAGAAACACTGGGTAGCCCAAAAAGGTATTCTGTGACAAAGGGAAGCAAATCTCAGTAAATGGAACAATATGCTCAATAGTCTACAAATATAAAATCTATTCATCAACATCAAGAGATGACTGAATAATTAGACAAATCTCCTAAGGGAAAAAATACAAGGGACATGTTATATTTAAGTAGTTTAATTTCATTTATAAGAGAAGCTGAAATTAACTAATCATTTTTAATGTATTTTTATTTTTTACACAATATTTTCTTCTAAACAAAGAAATGTGGAAGGAAATATTGATCATTAAGTCTTGATTCTAAAATATACAGAAAAATACGTTTAAAGGCTTCTTCATACACAAATATCCTTATATAATCTCTTTGTTACTTCATGTATACTCATGTGATCTAGCGTGCTAATACTCCAAGCATCTATCATTAATCACTTTCTCAAGTCATTAATTTGGCTCCAGGTTATTATGTAGAAAACGGGCAGGTTCAAAGGGACAGTTAGCCAAGGAAATGAATGGGAAGAAGAGGAGCTGGTTCTGAGAGCTAATACTAAAAACGTCTGAGGTTTCTTATGAAATGAATCCATCTAGCCACTCATTGCCAATATTTGTTTTGGAAGTCTTTTTATTCTCTTCAGCACTGAACTGAATATTCACTTTAAGCAGATTATTTGAGGATACAATTTTTGAATGATTACATCCAAGATTACACTATTAGTTTTGATTACCTAATCACCACTCCATTCATTTCACATGTGGTCACTAAACATGATCATATACAAAGCATAATGGAGATATAAAGATGACAGTATCTTTATTCTTAAGAAACTTATAATTTAAGGAAAGTGAGCAAAGTTTTCTAAAGAAGTGGCTTTTAAGCCAGTATTCAAAAAACATACATGATCTGGACACATTAAGATTAGGAAAGGGCATCTAGGCCCTGTGCATGCAAACTAAGAAAACTTCTAGTATTCAGAGTGCTACAGCATAAGGCATGAAAAGAGAAATATTAGAGGTAATGTGAAATGTTAAGCTGAGGCAAGATTATTAAGGGTCTTAAAAATTATGCTATAGAGTAAGAACTTTATTCTGTGAGACATAGGGAATGACTATTGAGTACAGAAGAGACGACTGTATTTTAGAAAGACAGCTCTTGAAGAGTATGCAGCCTGAATTAAAAAAGGACAAAAACAAGAGATAAGTCTTACCAGAAGGTTATTACAGATTACAACTGTGGGAGAAGATACATTAGGTTAGACTGAGAAGACATGGTAGGATGGACTACCACCAAAATTGGGAAGGTAAGGGGAAGTAGATAAAGAAGACTCTAAAGTTTTAATCATCCATCACTGGCAAAATGATAATGCTACTAATAAAAACGGATAACGAAGGAAGAGGAGCAGGTCTGGAAAGAGAGCTAAGTCTGGTTACAAACATGCTTGCTCTTGTTGCTGAGATAGATCTAGCAGGTATTTGGTTTAGAGTTAAATTCATGAGTGTGAAGTAATTTTTTAGAGTAGAACTAACTGCTGGTCAAAAGATGTAAATATGTTTATGTTACTGCTGTCTAAAAAAGGATGCCACCAGCAGTGAATGAACATATTCAGCAATTATTTCAAAGCAATTTTAAAAACAGGAAATTTAAAAAATTATAACATTAGGGTATGAATTACTTTTAAGAAGAAAATTATTTTTTGTCCTTGATTTTCTTCACATGTGAAATAAAATATGGAAATAAATATGGAAAAATTCTATCATTCTCTTTTGTAATAACAATGGACAAATTATTGCTGCCATATAGAATAGATATGAAATTACATCATACATTAAATTTTAAGAAATTTACCAAAAAAAATACAAGAAAAAGTTTCTAATTAATTTCTCTCATTCCATTTGGGTTACTTGCACAGAAAATATCCATGTTCTAAAATTCCTGATTGCCTACACAAACATGATTTAAGATAATCAGAAACAGCAAAGTGCAAAAGTTGAACTTATCTTTTTTTTTGTTTGTTTGTTTTTTTGACCGGTAAGGTTTTGACCGGTAAGGTAAGGGGATCGCAACCCTCGGCATGGTGTGGTGTACACCACGCTCAGCCAGTTGAGCGCACCGGCCATCCCTATAAAGGATCCGAACCCGTGGCCTCAGCACTACCAGCGCCGCACTCTCCCGAGTGAGTCACAGGGCTGGCTCAAAAGTTGAACTTATCTTGACCACAGTTGCTACACACAAAAAAGGACAGCTCCTTATTTATTTTAGATTACAAAGTTTGAAAAACAATGACTAATAATTATTCCATTTATCTCAATACTTATACCCTTTGGGCCGGCCCGGTGGCGCACTGCTGTAGTGCGCCGCTTGGGAAGCGCGGCGGTGCTCCTGCCGAGGGTTCGGATCCCACATACAGACCGGTTCCCGCTCACTGGCTGAGCGAGGCGCGGGAGCAACACCGAGGGCTGCGATCCCGTTGCCGGTCCTGGTCCAGTGCGGGGGCGACACTGAGGGTTGCGATCTGTTGCCGGACATGGAAAAAGACAAAAAAAAAAAAAAAAGAAATGCACAGGGCCGAACCCGTTGCTCACTCAGGAGAGTGCGGTGCTGGGAGCACAGAGGTGCTGGGGGCGCTGAGGCCGCAGGTTTGGATCCTATATAGGGATGGCCGATGCGCTCACTGGCTGGGCGCAGTGCAGGCGACACCAAGCCAAGGGTTATGATCCCCTTACTGGTCACAAAAAAAAAAAAAAAAAAGAAATGCACAGAACAGTCACAGAGGTGCTACTTGCTACCAAGCTAAAAAAGATAATGTAAATTGTCAACAATGGTTAGTGATAACAAAGAAGTTTACCCAGGTTCTACCACAGGGAAAATATATTCCTGTTGCCACAGCTGTACTCCATAGTCACACTCTAACTAGACATTTTGGGAGTCATTTACTCACGTGATTTCCTCCACCCCATTTTAGTGGTAAAATGTCTTGTAAAAACTCTGTGTGCATGCGTGTGTGCGCGTATGTGTGTGTATGTACCTGTTCACGTCCGGAAGGTAAAGGTCAGCAGGGAATCCCTAGTTTTAACCTCATGGGCACTTGCTTCCCTGCATTGGCTCCTCGGGCAAGCCCATAAACCAACACACGGAACCTGTGTGTTCTCCTATTCAGCAAAATTATTTAAGCAACAACACATTAGCAGAAGGGTAAGATGAAAAACCTCAAAACTGAGATTCTCGGTTAATTTTTCTTTATTGGTATTCTTAGGAAGGATTCTGATTAGAGATATTCAATCTTAAAAATTAACTTTCATGAAATTGACTAACCTTTTGTATGTTTATTATGTCTTTGGTGTTCCTTATTTTGTATTTTTAAAGCACTAGGTGAAGTGCCACATGACCTATCATCTTCAAAATCACCACATCCAAACCCATAGTTTATACGTTGACCAATTATGCTTACACTGGATGTTGTAATCCCTATAAAATAAAATAGATATTTATTTGAATGATTTAGGTAATATTATATGATAGATACATATCTCCCCTCTACATCTATCTCACCTTCTAACCTTTTAAAGGTAACATAATATTAGAAATTCTAACATTATAGTAATTTTTAAAAGTTTTATCCTGTTTTAAATCATGTAATACTTTTAAATCTTACTAGCACATAAGAACATTTATTATATGATATACTACAACATTTCATAAGACAAGCTTTAAAATTAGAAATACAAAATGCAATGTTTAAAAGAAACAATCAAATATATATGTTTAAAAAATATGACATGCATTTAATGTTTAAATGTCACTTTTAACTTTACACTAAAAAGAAAAAAATTTAAATGCAGAATTTCAAAACTGTGGCCTTAGAGATGTCTATATTCTCCATTTCTCTCTTTTTCTCTCCCATGTAATGGGTCTGTACTGGAATGATTGGTGATGCAGTAAATACATAGTGATTAAGAGCTTGGTATCTAGAATCATGCTTCCTGCTTTAAATCATACCACTGCCACTTAAACTGCTAAGAAAACCTGGGGAAAACACTGAACCAAATACTGTGTATTTCTAAAAATCACAGTACCTCTTCTAAAACTGTTGTTAGGATTAAACGAAGAAAATACATGTAAAGGGTTTAGCATAGTGCCTAGCATATTGTAAATACAGGCACCCAAATGTTATTATAACCCTAATTAAAACAAAAGCAAAATCCTAATGTAGGCCTACTTTTAACAAATAATAAAAAATTGAATCTACATTTGAGTGTTTAAAGTGATCACGTTATACTAATACTTTGCAGCTATTACAACCACAAAATGTCCATTAAATGAAAAATCCTAGGTAGTATATATTTGAGTCACAGTCCATTTTTACATATAGTTCCTATGTAAACCATTAAACAGTAATAAATTATTAGTTTTGATAGTTAATTCATAAAGTAAGACTCATAAAGATACTGGTTTTGGGGCCGAGCCCGTGGCGCACTCGGGAGAGTGTGGCGCTGGGAGCGCAGCAGCGCTCCCGCTGCGGGTTCGGATCCTATATAGGGATGGCCAATGCACTCACTGGCTGAGCGTGGTGCGGCTGGTCTCAAAAAGGACAAAAAAAAAAAAAAAAAAAGATACTGGTTTTGGGTACAAATGCTTTCTATTAATAGGTGACACTGATCTAGTGCTATAGGAAAGAAGTTTACTATAATATCATTCAGGTAATTTAACACAATTTGTGTAAAAGGTAGTGATAAAATATATGGAAACTTTTATTGGGAATACTGTTGTAAAGACAGATTGGTTTTGTAATTTTTACATAATTGTTACTTTTGTTTTTATCTTCAGATGGTCTTTATTCTGAGCATTATCATTTTTATGTTTTACCAATTAAACCATGATAAACTTATAGGAATCACTTGCTTACTGAAAACAAAACACACCCAAATTTGTAAAATCCAAAACCATTAGCAACTTAACAGTTTGAAAGAACATTAAATTTAACTAAGAATATCTTATAGTGAATTCAATAATAGTAGTTTTTCCAAATCTTGATCCTGGAAATACCTGTTATTTGTTAAAAGTAGTTTTCTAACCATGAAGATGAATTCATTACGTATGAGTTGAGGGCCCAGAATCTATATATGTTACATGTACCCCAAGTTTGAGAAACTGTATATTCCATATAGAAGTATGTACTATTACAAGATCACTCACTCTGCTAGAACAAAAATGACTTCCAAGGTCACATGATGTAGGTCAGAAGGAAACTCAAATCCAGGTTTTCTAAACCTATTCTTTTTCCATTTCCAAAGATATTCTTCTAAAAGAGGATTCCATTTTTTTTTTTTTTTTTAAAAGATGACCGGTAAGGGGATCTCAACCCTTGGCTTGGTGTTGTCAGCACCACGCTCACTGAGTGAGCGAACCGGCCATCCCTATATGGGATCCGAACCCGGGGCCTTGGTGTTATCAGCACTGCACTCTCCCGAGTGAGCCACGGGCCGGCCCCAGGATTCCATTTTGACAAAGTAGATATAACCTAGCAACCAGATGTCTCTCCAATCTTACATAAATATTTGTAAAATTATAAAAATAGATTAGGATGATCAGCCTTAAAAAGGATTAAAGGATAAGTTTATGTATTTCTTTGTGTCTCTCCCTGTAGAAGAACAAATACATACTGAGTGCCCACTATGCACTAGGTGCTTTACATGTGTTATATACTTAAATCTTCTCTACGCTTCTCAAGGTTCATATTATCAAATGAGGGAACTAAGTTTCAAAGCAGTTAAGTAACTTGCATAGACTATGAATACTATTATTAGATATAAAATTGGGATTCCATCTGGGTTCTTTCAGACTGCAAAGCAGATATACACTCTCTTCGTGTGCCTAATAGAGTAACTATCTCTTTGCTGAACACTAGCTTTGTGCAAGCTAGTATACCAGGAATGCCTGGTAAGTCAGGGATTCTTGATTATGGCAGGTAATCAGAGAGAAGCAATCTCTGGGAATCAAGAATCTCAGAGTCAAAGGAAAGCAAAGTAATTGCAATAGCATTATAAAAAATTTCAGTGCAAAATGTAATGGTATTACAAAAAAGATAATAATCTCTCTATCTTGGTGAATTAGGAATGCAACTGAGCTGTTTTCACAGCTGAATAGGGTATGGTACGGATTTCAGATTTCATCTAGAAGAAATTGTATATACAACTGTAAAGAGATAGGAAATAGTACTGAAGGTGGTCTGATTTAATTTAACTGGCGCATAAGATACAAAGAAGGAAGTGAAAAAAAGAGGCAGTAGAGGTAGACAGGAACCAGATCATAGAAGGATGCCCTGAATGAATTTAGGCTGGCCAATATAGTCAGATTTGTATTGTGGGGAATGGACTGTAAGTGAATGAGACTGAAGCTGGGGAGAAAACTTAGGAAACGAAGTCTGAAAGAAATGAGGAAAAGTATGAACTAAAGCCATGGTAGTAGGAATTAAAAAGAAGGGATGAAATTAAGACATTTAAGAGCAAGAAATTAATAATCTTAGCAAACAATTATATGCATATCATTCAGCTTTTTAGAAGGATAATTACAATGTAAAAACTAAAGCAGCCTTAAAGTTGTTACCACTTTCATGCTGAGATCGTGTGAAATGAATATCATATCCCAATTTGTTACAACTTATTCACAATTTAATATGATTTTACTAATCCTAAAGAACAACATGCAATCCCCATCCTAAATAGATCATAGTCCAAATATTTTTCTAATTCATTACTAATTACTAAATCTATTTTCTGAGAAGTGATAGAAAATTAGACACTTCCAGGTTAGTTCACAAAATTCTTAACACAAGATACATATGAAATTAACTACTAGTTAAATATTTTTTAAGGAAATTGTCTTTTGTGATGTCAAGTGGTTCCAAACTATGCCGTACATTAGAATCATCTGGGGAGCCTTCGAAATTCTGACAGCCAGGTCACACTCCATACCAATTAAATCAAAATACCTGGGTGTGAGAGCCAGGCATACATATACATATGGATTTAAAAGGAAATCAATGATTTTTCTTCCAAAAATATTATATTTATTCTTGTCAAAATGACCTTTTAAGGACTTAAAAAATGATTAATCTTCATTGGTAACTACAAAAATTCTAAATCTGAAATGCACCTGCTATCATTTTTGACATCATTTAAAAATTATACTTTTTGTAAGTCATATTTATAAAACAGTCATAGAATACCTGCGCTGGGGCTTTGTTCAGCTATATGAGAGTTTTTATTCCTTGCAGAAGAAAGTCTCGTTGGACAAGGTTTTGATCCAAATGTTGGAAATATGTCTGACCTATAGTGAAACAAAGTAATTTCAATAAATACTTAAGATTTAGAGCTGTTCAACACTCCTATCACACATTCTCTATTCTTTTCATTAACTCACTAAACTTTTAGATAATAAGGCAGCAGCATGTATGAAAAACTATGGCTACCAGTATTTTAAAAATATTTTTAGTTCACCCTTTGAACTTAACATATTGCCAATTCTTAATCATTAGAGGATTGCCGCAGGAAATGACTCTGACTTGTACTGTATAATGCCTGGGCAAGTAAATAAAAAATACTGATCCAAGGGAGCCCATTCCAAAACAAAATAAAATGAATCCTAATTACCTAACATACTATCTACCCTCATATATGATAACACAAAAATAGAGACTTCATTATATCATAGGAGATCAGCAACATGTGAATTTGGCATATGGCACTTTCCTGTCAGACTATTCTTTGCTATACCTTCCTGACATTATAAAGGCCTACAGACCTTGTTTCATAAAGAAAGAAAACTGAAGAATGTTATATCTGAATATAAAAGAACTGCTTTATTTTTTTATTTTTTGGTGGCTGGCCAGTACACGGATCTGAACCTTTGACCGTGGTGTTATAACACCATGCTGAGCTAACCAGCCAGCCCAAGGTAAATGCTTTAAATTAATAAGTATTGTAATGTCAGTAATTCAGTGTTGAAGATTATGAAGAGATTTTATAAAGAAGTACAATTCTTAGTAATTGGATAAGCGTATTTGTTAATGGGCTTAGTGAGAAATCACTGTTAAATATTTTTAAACATTAATTTTGCTAGAGTGGATTACTGTGAATTTACATTTAAACTGAGTGTATATGACTTGGATGAAAGAAAAAAAACCTTCAGTCTTTAGAAGTGTGGTTTTCAACAATTTTCTCTTCCAAACCCACTTAAGGATAAAAGCCTTGCATCAGGTAGTAGTAGCTTTCCTTGGCCATGAATCTTAAGGCAGGATGCAAGCTGGTTAAGAATAATTGTTCTCAAGCTATTAAAAATAAATGTGGAAATCCTAAATTCACTTAAGCTAATTCAGTCCCTAATGAAGTGTGCTGAACTCCTTTCTCACAGAGTTTAATATCTGAAGAGAAAACTCCATGAGACAATATAGAAAGTCAATTCTAAATGTTATAAAATGAACTTTTCTTCCTAACTGCTTAAATTCTTCACATGATCTGCAATTGTAGATTGTAACTGTAAATGTATAAAACAAAATTTTACCTTCATTGAAGATCATAGGAGGACTTTAGGTCTAAAGCTAAATAAATATATTTAAATGTCTGATAACTTTATGTAAACAGTTACTTTGCCAGTCCATGTAGCCATTCCAAATTCATTTTTTAAATATACTGTATTATATATTAATTACCTACATAATTACAACAAAAGAATTTCTAGTAAGAAAAATTTGGAAGTGCAAAATAAGCTGCTACATAAGTTAAGAATGTGGAGGAGAAAATTGTGAGATGAGATAAATTTCTAAGAACAAGACACAAAAATTCAGTTTAATGCTATGAATTGCTGATATAAGACACCCTTTGCTATTGAAGTTATCAGAATACACCTCTCCTTTGATAATGCAGTCTATATTTACCCATATTTGCTAGAGATATAAAGTTCCAATTGACTAAAGTGAAAATCATTTTAATTTAATTGTAAGTATTTACTTCTAATAGCTGTATGTAAACATGGTTCAGGATAAAAATCAAAGGAAAATAAAATTTAAAAGACTGATAAGACCAAATGTTAGCAAGAATGTGAAACAACCATAACTCTCACTCATATACCAACTGTTTAGCAGTTATTTAAAAATTTAAATATATCTACCCTAGGCCCTAGCAATTCTACTCATAGGTTTTTGTCTAAAATAAAAGGGGAAGAGATTCCCCAAAATCAAACAATAAAGTCACAAAGATGCCCAGAAATCAGGATGGGATCACTGCTTAAGATTTTGAAGTTAGAAGGGTAATCTGAAATAGTTGGAATTGCTATGCTCTAAAATAATTCTCTGTCAGCAAGGGGTGGCCAGGACTCTAATTCCAGCATTACTGCTGTAGGGAGCTCTGGAGAGGGCTATGGCATGGAGTCCTGAGCTTCTACAAGATAACTGAAATAAGATATAAGAAATAGTGGGATATCAGCTAGGGAGAACTTTTATATAAATTAGAGGAAGTTGGTGCTGAGTTTAAAACAGAGGCAGTAATATTAACTCTAGATCAACTGGAAAAAGAATCAATGATCCAGAAAAAAAGCTAAAGGTCAAAAGCTAAAGGATAAATCTGAGAAAGGAAGAACAACTGAGGCTTCGGGAATAGGGTTTATGTTAATGTAAGTGCTCTAGGTTACAGTTGGGGTTGTGTTCTCTCTTTCCACCCCCAACCCAAACTAAAGCCAAGCATGGTAATAAAGGATGAGTGTCCCTAATCTGAAAATCATAAATGCTCCAAAATCTGAAACGTTTTGAGTGCCAGCATGATGCCAGAAGCAGAAAATTCCATACCTGATCTCATATGACAGGTCACAGTTAAAATAGGTGCACAACACAAAGTTTGTTGTTGCTGTCGTTTAACAGCTGATACAAATAATCTGGTGATGCTAATGTGCAGCTTAGCCACCCTGAACACATTATTTTTTCACTATATTAATGGTATGTCATATTTTTTACTGTTAAATACTTATGTGTGAATAAATATAAAAAAATGATTGCCAATTGGTAGCATATAAATTCATAGTCAGGAATAATGGTAATGTCAAACAACCACAGACTGTCCACATGAGTCGCTGAGGTAGTGGCACCTTTGCTTGCTGATTCAATGTATATAAACTTTGTCTCATGTACAAAATTATTAAAAACATTGTATAAAATTACCTTTATTCTAGGTGTATTAGGTATATATGAAACATAAATGAATTTCATGTTTAGACTTGGGTCCTATTCCCAAGATACATATGCAAATATATCAAAATCTGAAAACATCTATAACCCAAAACCTTTCTGGTCCCAGTCAGTCATTTTGGATAAGGGATACTCAACCTGTATCTGTAAACTTTCCCTTTGTCTTTTAAATGTATTTAACATTTTGAAAACTGAAAAATAAATTGTTTTAAGTTTTTTCCAAATATGATATTAGGGCTCTAGATCACAAATTACAGATAAGCATTCATTTAACATGCCAAAAAATAAAATACATTATTCTCTTCCCCTGGGGAGTTGTAGACAGAGAAGAAGTCAATGATTCTTGGCTATAAACTCCACTTTCACTGTAGGAGCTGATGTTTGGAGAAGAAGATCGAGATGGGGAGTCCAAAGTCAAGTCAAGCTTCATTGCAGAATCAGGGCTTTCAAGATCAGAAATACTTCCATTCAGTTTTGCTCTTTTCTTAGCTGCACTATTACGGAGGGACCTAAGAGAGCTCTGCATCTAAGAAAAAAATGAAAACAATTAACTTCACAAGATAACAAATTTAAAAAAAAAAAAAAATATATATATATATATATATATATATTTTTTTTTTTTGTAAGCACTGACCTGTTTTTCTCTTTTTTGTTTCAATACTTTTTAAAAATTTATTTTGGTGGCTGGCCAGTACAGGGATGTGAACCAGTGACACTGGTGTTATAAGGCTGTGCGCTAACCAACCGAGCTAACTGGCCAGCCATAAATTCCTTATATTAGTAAAAGTTACCCTTAGATTTTAAACTCCATTTACTATACCTAGCTAACCACTCCATAATCAGTACTGACAAGATGTATGCTAATATTTATGTAAATGGTATAAATACGTAGATTATATCACTTGGGTATTTATAAATAACCTGTTAGGCTGTAAGCTTCTCTTGAGATTTTTTTTTTCCTTTTTGTCTTTTTTCATGACCGGTAACGGGATCGCAACCCTCGGTGTTGCGCCCGTACCGCGACCAGCAACGGGATCGCAACCCTCGGTGTCACGCCCGCACCGCGCTCAACCAGTGAGCTGACCGGTCTCTATATGGGATCCGAACCCTCGGCAGGAGCGCCGCCGTGCTCCCAAGCGCCGCACTCTACCGAGTGAGCCACCGGGCCGGCCCTAGGCTGTAAGCTTCTTAAGAGGAAGAATCTCAGCTATTGTTCACCATGGTATCTCTAGTACCAGGCACAATGACTAAATATATTGTATTAATTCAATTACTCAATAAATGAATCACTGAATCAGATGGTAGATATCAGAGTTGAAGTCACCTTAGATCAACGGTATGCTGATATGGCTACATATAAGTTCTAGAAGGTTAACGAAAGTAATACATTTTCTAAAGTTTGACATTTACACCATGCTTGCAAGTGTTAGAGTTCACAGAATAATAGATTATTGTATGCAACATCTGAAGCCAAGTATTTTTAGAAGTAGAGAGTAGAAATTGTCATTACAAACTAATATATTAAGGCTGGGAATAGAATTGAACAAATAAAGGGACACAGAAGCATACACAAACTGCTCTGTTTACATTTTGACTCATAATATTAAGCATTTAATGAAAGCATCTGTCTTCAATTAATGAAAACGTTCATAAATTTAAGTCTTCACACTTGGAATACAGGTTCAACAAACCCCTTAATGGATTTACAGCAATGTAGCACAATGAAAACCATAATGAGCATGGAGTTGGGTGAAATGGGATTGAATCCTAGCGCTACCAATTACTTTATGACCTTGAGCAAGACATAGAATATCTCTGAGCCCCTTCTGTAAAAACAAACACACACACATACACATACACATAAACAAAAAACAATAGATGTTGCCTTGCTTAACTCAGGAAGTTACAATAAAGATTAAGTAAATTAATAAAAACAAACGTGTTTGGTTCATTATTAAGTACTATAAAAACTTACATATCAATTTCAATATAAAAATGCATATAGAAGTAAAATTGCATGAAAAAATTGATTAATGTACTCCCCATTATGACATAAGAATACAATTCTAATCCATAAAATACATATTGCTTTTCTTAAAGTCAACTCACACCAAAGAAGATAAATAGTGACCCACTCAAAACAATAAGTGAAAAGTATCATATTAGCAACTGGAAGGCAGGATAGGCCATTGTCTACAACTATACGATTAATATATGTGATTCAATAGCAGGGCCATTTTCCTATTAAAAGCTTGGAAGATTGAATATCTAAAAACAATAGTATCCCCCTGTGTTTACTAATAATTATATAAAAGAACCTCATCTTTTAATTATCCTCTAGAAAAAAAAGGGTATTTTTAAGTTATCATAAAAACCATGCAAAAATGTGTAGGATCAGATGAAATTTGAGTTAAGTAGGAAAATGCCTTTTCTATATGTTTTTTACCTTCAAATGAATTTCCTTCCTAGCACCAATGAAATACAAATGAGTAGGAAGAAAAAAAAAAATCAGGAAAAGATTTCACAAGCAGTTAGAAGTTTGAGTGCTACTTTAATTCATTAAGAACCAATTTTGGTACTTGATAAGTTAGTTTTAAGCATGCTTAACATTAAAGACATACTTTTAAAATGAATATTCATTAAGTTACTCTATTTTGTTGAACAAACTATCAGCACATGATGCTTACATCTTTAAAACAGGCTAAAATCAGACCATAAAATATCAGGATTGAGTGTTTCCATTTACATGTTTAACGTAAAACACTTTTAAAACCTGACATCAGGCAAACTCAAATGATAAAAAGGAGCATCTATGGAAACAGTCCTCTGAATCCAAAGTAATACAGCAACCACATTCCTTCTCCGACACAATTGATATGTACAGAGTTACCATGTGGGCAACACATTTTTATAGCATAAACAAAGTGATCTAGGATTCAAAGATGAGTATTTAATATAATCTCAATTTCATAAAGATAAATAAACTCAAACATATGTACAAAGGACAAGCTCAAGAATGTTCACTGCAGTACTGTTTGCAATAGCAAAAGACTGGTAATAAGACAAAAATCAATTGTATGAATAGACCATAAATAAATATATAAATACATTAATATAAAAAATAGAAAAATACCTAAAACATAAATTGATGTTAATAGTCGTTCCCTCTGAAGAAGGAAGAGAAATTGAATTGGGAAGAAACTATGTTACATTTCATTTGTTGACCATAAATAAATATATAAATACATTAATATAAAAAATAGAAAAATACCTAAAACATAAATTGATGTTAATAGTTGTTCCCTCTGAAGAAGGAAGAGAAATTGAATTGGGAAGAAACTATGTTACATTTCATTTGTTTAATTATTTATTACTATTATTTTATTTTGGTGGCTGGCTGGTACAGGGATCCGAACCCTTGATCTTGGTGTTATCAGCACCATGCTCTAACAAAGTAAGCTAACTGGCCCCATTTATTTAAAAAACAGGAAACAAATATGGCAAATTATTCACTGGGAAGGGCCAGTGCATGAGTGTATTGCTGTATTATTATTCATAATTTTAATTTAAAAGGAAATAATGTATGCATTGAAAAAGTACTGATAGGAAACACATTAGAGTGATAACTGTAAATTATTCTGGGTAGTGGGATCTGGTATGATTCCAACCTAATAATTCACTGTATTTTCCATAATAAACATAAAATATTTTTATAAGTAAGAAAAAAATGTTGAGGTATAATAAGCACTTCATTTTTCCTTAAATAGCAATTGTAATATTATAGAAAATTACAAGTATTTTTAAACTGTTAAAAATTATATTTGGTTCTAACCTCTTCTTGATCCAAATCTTTATCCCTGAAATTTAACTCCGAAAGATCAATTGTAAGACCATCTTTTTCACTCTTCCAAATCTCATCAGGCTCTTTCTTTTTGTGTCCCACTGTGTTTAAATCAGCTTTATCAGGCAAAAGGCTTATTCCCCTTGGTATGGGAGGGACAGGCTTTGTCCCATTTAGGCCTCGTCGGGAAGATGGTGATCTCACCAAGGCAGGTGTAAGCTGAACTGCAGAAGGTTTTTCTTGAGAATTTTCTCCTGCATGAAAAACATATATTTTACTTTTTCTTTTTTTTCAATTTCAGAGAAGAAGAGTTATAGTCACGAGTGTTTGCAATACAATGTTTTCTAAATAAAAAAGCACATTATATTTAATTAAAAATAAAGATTACTATTTAAAATGAGATGAAACAAAAGTGTCAGTGTTCCCCAACAAATTTAACAGAAATAAGCCATCTAAAATCCTTTTACATTAAATGAAAAATATTATATACCAAGTTAAAATTTTGTATTCTACCTTTCTACACATCATCACCGTGACTAATATTTGTTATGGTAAAGTTCATAATATGCTACAAAGGCTACTTTTCTGGCTTGATTTAGTTATATAAGCAAAATTTGAATGACTAGTATATGCAAAGCAGTAATACTGGGCACTGGGGAGAATAAGCTGAATAAAGTTTCATTTGATCTTGTAGAAAAGACAAACAGAAAGAAATTAGTAGAAGAAAGTGAAGGCTCAGTGCTAAGAGAAAGTGATAAAATTGACTGAATATGCAATAAATTTACTTTACGGTTATAAACTAGAACATTGGTGTTGTGGGATAGTTTAAAAGTTTAGCTGGGTATAGAAAAGCATATGGGATATAGAAGATGCATTAATAGACTCTTTGAGTGGATTTGTCCTGAATGTATGTGCATGCTAATTTCATGATTTTGAAATGGGCCATTGTTAAGAAAATATTTTAGTTTATAACAAACAATAGAAAACCTTCAAAATAATTTTAGCATATAATAAACATGCAATAAATACTGAATAAATGAATATTAGGCATTGATTATAGTAAATATGTGAATGACATTTTATGTTTGAGAAGCTAAAATTTGTTAGTAGGCTCTCAGGCAACATATGGGGTTCATGTCCATTATAAAGCACTATTATTTGCCTAGTTCTGAAAAAGTATTTTGAAGTGGCAATATAAGAAAAGCAAGAAATGACAATTTCATTTGAATTTTATATTATACATTTGATCTATTTAACATACTGCTAAATATTTTCCTCAATATTTACAAGTTCAGAGAAATAAAATGTAATTTATCAGCTTTTAAAGATCTAACAACCCTGTGTATTAACTCCAAAGTACTAATTCAAACACACAAATTTGAACAAAGTATTGATTTTTATTGTCATTTCTACCTGTTGGGTCAGATGATTTTTGGCTGAAAAGCTTTTTCTGTGGGCTTGGCTTTGATAGTCCTTCGAAGCTTTTAAGAGGCCAGGAATTTGAGAAGTTCATGGAATTATCTTGAGACTTCTTTGGAGATATAGTAAGAGGAGATGTGTGCTTTGGACTAGTTCGAGGTGATGAGAGGGGATAGGATGGAAGGGTGAAGTTTCCTGGACTTGGATTTGAACCACAGTATGTCGAAGTATGCTCTGTTTGACTACCAAATGTTTGCTGTGTCCTACTGCCAAAATTTAGGCTAGCATACACTGTAATAAAAAAAAAAGGGGGGGAAATTATTTATTTATGTATAAACATCTTCTAAGAGTTTTAAGGTGCTTTTTTGCTTTCCACATCGAGGCTTCCATTTCATCTGGCCTTCATATTTTTGTACGGTGTGAGGTAAAGATCTAATTTAATTTGTGTTGTTCAAATATTCTGTAACTTCTAATCCGAAACTTCTTTATCCTACTAAAACTTTCTACTAACATTTGTAGATTTACTAATTTTCCCCTTGTAAATTTGTCAAATTATATATAAAAGGTGTCTTCAAAAAATCAATGGAAAGATTAATATTATCTTTTAATGTCATTTTTCCATGAACTTTTTGAAGCACCCTTGTACATATATACATATACATGAATATGTATACAGACACACATGTATACATCAGAAAAGTCTTGTCTTCCTACTGAATTCTTCTTTTTCTCATTATAATGACCCTTTTTAGCCCTAAAAATGTTTTTAGCTTTAGTGTGCATATTTTCCCTGGCATCAATACATTTATACCTGCTTTTCTTTGAGCATTTGCCTAGTGTGTCTTTTCCATGTTTTACCTTCTCTCAACCTATTTTGATGTATTTTAGGTGAAGCTCTCAAAAATAGCATTTCAATGAAAAACATAAAATAAAATCTGATCATCTCTGTCACTGAAATGGTAAGTTCTGTTCATTTATGACAACTATTGATATATTTGGTTTTAATTCTACTCTCTTATTTTCTGCTTTCTACTTAGTATGTTTTTTCTTTATTACTTTTTTTTGTGCCTTTCATTGATCTTTTCTTTTTACTCCTAAACTAATACAAAAATCTATTTTTTTTGTATTAGATTTTGTATAAGATTTGTAATCTTTTAGGGATTCCCTTAAATTTTCCTTTAATATTTTTTAAAGACTTTCCATGACAAAAGACCTTATGTATGCTTAAGAATAAAACATTCTTCTGAAGATTTAAAAATTATGTATGTTGGGGCCGGCCCGGTGGCACACTGCTACAGTGCGCCACTTGGGAGTGCGGCGGCGCTCCCGCCAAGGGTTCGGATCCCACATACAGACCGGTTCCCGCTCACTGGCTGAGCGAGGTGCAGGCGCAACACCGAGGGTTGCGATCCCGTTGCCGGTCCCGGTCCGGTACAGGCGCGACACTGAGGGTTGCGATCCGTTGCCGGACACGAAAAAAGACAAAAAGGAAAAAAATAAAAAAAATAAAAAAATAAAAATTATGCATGTTATGATTGTGTATATATCATTTATTTTCAATTCATATCTGACATGGTTAGGACCTCTACCTCTAAAATCTTATTTGGTTAGAAAAGGGAACTATAGCAGACTTAGGTAATTACAGATTTACATAAAGAATGAAAACTTTCAGTTTCCTGATTTCAATTACAGTTCTGTATTAATGGCAATGTCTCAGTATATCTTCCTTTTAAGAGATTTAAAAATATTTCTTACAAAGAAATTAAACATTAGATCTTTTTATGCATATCAGTAGAACCAATGCAAACCAATATACACTCAACATTTCCAACACTCAGTGTGGATTACTACAACATTTAAACTGGGATGGGAACATGTGTATGGTTTGGCATCTACACAACAGGTCTTTTAGAGATCCCATGGTAATATTAGTGGAGATGGTGGTGGTCCTGACAGAATTTTTAATGTATAGCCAACTATTAAGTTAAATTCTACTAACTTTAGAAGAACATGATATCCCTTTATACTAGCTGCTCTAATAGGTATTCTGAGAGGTTATAGCTAACCAGAGTCACTATGCAGATCTCATTAAACAGTGAAAGTGGAGTAGTCTTCACAGCAAACCCTCTCTGCTTCTACTAATGATGAGTCCCAAAGGTATTAGAGAGTCAAGATTTAGGAAATACCCATATCGTTAAGAAAGACAGACTGTTTTATTGTGGTGTAGAGAACACCACAAAGAAAAACTTTAAGAAGTCATGTGGCCCTTTGGATGGGTGGAGAAAAGGCTAGCTAAAATGTAAGTGCTATAATAGCTAAATCTTTACTAATTTCAAATTATCATTACCTTTTCATCAATAAATATATTTTTGTTTATATTTGGCGGCTGGCCAGTACAGAGATCCAAACCCTTGACCTTGGTGTTACAAGGAGGCACTCTAACCAACTGAGCTAACTGGCTTCAATAAATATAGAAGTATATCCCTATCACTTAAGAAAATTTTAGTAAAGAACATACAACAAAAATTAAAATACCCCTAGAAATATTTAATTTGATTCTATTTCTACATAATTGTTAAAGCTGGGCTGGCCAGTTAGTTCATTTGGTTAGAGTGTGATGTTATAACACCAAGGTCAAGAGTTCAGATTCCCATACAGACCGGCCACCAAAAAACAAAACAGGATACATAGCAAACATCTTTTTTTTTTTCACTTTTTAATTTTTAAAAAAAATTTTAA